GCCAGCATTCCTCCTGGCAGGGAATCGGTAGCCCTCTGAGTGGCCGGGTGGTTCGGAAATCAGTTGCCGTGGCAAGGGACTGTTACAGACAGCAGCTGGGTTTGAGCTCCCCGTGCCGAAATCCCGTGGCTGGTGTCCTGGTGTCCTGGGGAGAGGCAGACCTGGAACTGTGCCTGGGTGTGTTCTGCCAACCCTTCCCCCCAGCTAAACCCAGGTGATGCTCCGCAGCCCGCAGAGCTGTTTCTGGGGACGGAGCCCTCTGGAAAGCACTCGTGGCTGTCGCTCCTATGTACTTTGTTCTGCTCCTGAGGCTGTGAAAAACCAGCACAGGACCTGACCCCGTATCGCTGCAGGACTGGGGAGGGGGCAAAGCTGCCTCGTGCCCAGTGGGTGCAGAGCTGGGTGACGTGCATGGGATTTATCCTCGGGACCTTCCCCTCCTGCCCTGTTCGGAGCTGCGCGTCAGCGCTGGGCTCAGCCTGCCTGTGAGTTTTATAGGGATCCTTTCTGGTGCATCGTCTCATACTTAGGATGTCTCCTACGGCAAGGTGACACTGGAGTTACACTGGAGGTTCTCAAGAAGCAACTGGACAGGGAGGTTGCTAGATAATCTTACCTAGGCTCTCTTTGCCATGAAAGGCTGGGTCGGGTGGTCCAAAGTCCCTTCCAACCTGGGCTGTTCTGAGTGTTTTCAGTGGTCTGGGACAGAAGGGGGGAACAAGCCTCCTCAAACAGCTTCTACTGCAGAGAACAGGAACAGCTCCTTGCTTCGTTGCCGTCTCTGTGAGGGTAGGGGCGAGCTTGTAGTAGGAGCTTGTAGGCCCTGGACTGGCTCTAGCATTGTGGATCTGTTTGCGGAGGATACTGAGACTGAAGGGAAACGTCTCGGTTCTGCAGAGGAGGGGTCTCCCTGAGGTGTCCGAGGTCCAGCGCTAAGGCTGGAGGAGCATGGCACGGGACAGCCGGCGCCCTGGGTGGCAGGTTGGAACACCCAGCAGCCTTCTGGACCTTGTGCAGGATCCCCATGTCTTCCTGGGGGTTTATTTTGCGTCTTCTTTTGGCTGTTCCCATGGGTTAGGTCCCGGAAAAACCTTTTTTCGTGTGTTTGCCGGTGAAGGGTCTGCGAACGCGCTGCCCCTGACACGTGAGCTGACACAGCGCACCCAGCGCTGCCCGCGGTAGGTGGTACTTGGATTAGGTGTTGCCATAAGGAGGCAGGTCAGAGCTGAAGCGAGAGGGGCCCTACGGAAGGCAGGGTGAAGAGAGGACATTTCCAGCAGGAGAGGCCAAGCAGCACTGCGGAGAGCTGGGAGTCAGCGCCGCACGCGGGCGGTGGAGCGGGAGAGCCGCAGCCGTGGTGCTGGGGAAAGTGGCTGTCCCGCTGCTCCCGGCCGTAGCCGGCCTTTGTGACCTTGTGCCACTGTTGATGCCAGGCGAGAGCTGCTTTGCAGACGGGGTCAGCATTCCCAGCTTCCACAAAGCAACTGGCCGGGCTGTGTGTCTTCACAGAGAGAGGAGTGCTCCCCCGTTCTGGTCTCCCTGCTTCCCCCTCTCTGTGTTCGCCGTCGGCTCCGTTGACTAACCTTGTTGTTCCTTCTTTCTCTCCTTCCTCCTATCCTTCCTTTCCCACCCCCCATCCCGCCCTTTTCCCACCCAAATCTCTCTCCCTCACCCCCTTCTCTGCTGGTCTTAGCCGGTCCCAGCGCTGCAGCCTGTTCAGTATTCTCCAAGCTCCTGCCCCCAAGTCCTCTTGCCAGTCTCTCCACCCCAGCAGTACAACTTGGTATAAACCCCGTTTCCTCTTCTGCACTCTCTCCGTTGTACTTACGTGCTGTGTTTGTGTTGTATGAGCTTTTGTCAACCAGGTGTGTGGCGGACACTGCACCCAGTGGGTTTGGGATTCGTGGAGGCTCTGCCCTGCAGCGGGGTCAAGGCAGTGGGATGCCTGAGGCTGTGGGACCCACCAGGGCCGGGCGCTACTGGAGTGGCTGATCTTGGGAAGAGCCTGGGGAAGAGCAAGTGCCAAGCCCAGAGCTCCACCGGGAAGTGACGCTTGTGCCCAGCGCTGGGGTCCGGGGCCGTGTGGTCTCAGTCAGCCCCTGTGTTCTCTCCGCCGGGTCTTTCGGGAATGGCGCACCCCGTGGGACGTGATCTCTGGGCTGGGGCCACCCCTGCCTGTGTGGGGCCCCGCATGTCACCAGTGTCTGCTAAGCATTTCCACACCCCCAGCAGCTCGCATGCCCCTACCCCCTGTCCTGCAGAATGCTCTTGGTCTGTGGCTCGTTTCTGGGGACCGTTCTTGGGCACGCTGCTCCGCACAGAGTAGGGAGAAGGGGTCTGCCATCTACTCGGCAGAGCTGTGTCCTACACGCTGTCGTCCCACACGCTGTCCTCCTCCATCCTTCCCACTTATCTCCAATGCAGGCTGATGAACTCAGCAACCCCTTCGGGCAGATCAGCCTCAGCCGACAAGGCTCTACGGAAGCACCGGATCCTTCCTCCGCTATGTTCCAGTCATCCCTCATCTCCCAGCATCCTCAGCAGACAGGATTCATCATGGCAACCCCTGGGCAGCCCATTCCCACCTCCAACTACTCTGCCTCAGGGCACACGGCCCCCACACAGCAGGTGCTGCAGCCCCAGGGCTACATTCAGCCTCCCCAGCAAGTAAGGACACGCGCAAGCCCGGAGGGGATGTGCACCTCCGGGGTGCCAGGGGCTGCTGGGGAGCAGTTCAGAGAGCAGTTCCTTGGGAGCGGCTCCTCCTTTTCTGTTGCTTGTTTGTGATGGATCAATACACCAGGGTCCAAGCTCCGGGTCAGCACGCGCCCTTGCTGCGCACAGGGTGATCCTGCGCCCTTGTCCCTCTGAGCTCACAAGGCACTTCCCTGGGAACCCGTCTGGCCATTCCTGGCTCGTAGCGTTGGGGAGGGACCGCGACCAGACTCAGGGCTGACACTCTAAGCTCTCTTTGGGGTCCTGCAGGGCATTATGACCTCTAGGATTGTTCCCCTGGGCTGTGATGAGAATTGTGCCTTGCACTACTGTGCTGGGAAAGGCTTGGATGTGGGAAAGGCTTGGATGTGGAGGCTGGGAGGAGCGGGAAGGGGCTGAAGTTCCCTGAGGAGCTATCATCTGGCCAGAGCCAAAGCCCTGGTTGGTTTCCTTTGGCAGAAGCCAGGCCAGGTGAGAGGGAAAACTGGTCCTGGGGGACCAGCTTTCTTAGTCCCGCTCCCTTGTGTGTTCTCACCACTGTGTTTTCTTGATTCGGATAGATTCAGGTTTCTTACTACCCTCCTGGGCAGTACCCGAACTCCAGCCAGCAATACCGATCTCTCAGTCACCCAGTGGCCTACAGCTCCCAGCGCACTCAGCAGCTCCCGCAGCAGTCCCAGCAGCCTGGTAAGGGGGTGTAGAAGGAGGGAGGGGGCATATTTCCCTTTCTTGCCGCTCTTGTTGGCTCTAAAGGTCTTCCATGCACTGTCTGGGGCCAGGCTTCTCTTCCCAGTCTCCCACTCGTTACCGGGCTTGCTGACTAGAGAGTGCCTCGTGCCTGTGCAGAGGGAAGGTGAAACCTGGCCTGACTGTGAAGGCTGTAGCTTTTCCCTCCCTCTCGGCATGTAGCATGCACCGGGGTGCTGCAAAGTGGATTTAAAGCCAAGAGCTTCCCTCAGGTCTTTTTACATCTGCTGTATAGGAAGCCTTTTTCCCCGCTCTTCAGCAAGAGATGGGGGCACAGCAGTATTTGAGCCCTCGTATGCCAAGTCTCGGGTGGGAAGCTGCTCCATTTCAACCGTGTTCTGACAGGTTTACAGCCAATGATGTCCAACCAGCAGCAAACATACCAAGGTGTAATAGGAGTGCAGCAGGCGCAGCCCCCCGGGCTCCTCAACAGCCAGAGGAACAGCATGGGCGGGCAGATGCAGAGTATGATGGGAGTGCAGCAGGCGCAGCCCCCCGGCCTCCTCAGCAGCCAGAGGAGCGGTATGGGGAGCCAGATGCAAGGCCTGATGGTCCAGTACACTCCACTGCCTTCATACCAGGTAGGTATCCGTTGTTCCCCGATGAGGGGCTCTGGGGAGGGGGCCTCAGCTCTGCAGCCTTGCGGGAGGTGCCCTGTGGTTGAGTGTTGGAGCCAAAGATGGAGAAGAGAGTGCTTGGGGAGGGCACATCCACATTTGAGTCTGTGTTGGATGTGTCTTGGGAAGGGGGACTGAGGGCGGGTGGTCCCTTTGCTGTTGTGCTCATGGAAGAGCCGGGGGAGGCTGCACTTGCCTGGGCCAGGTTGTTCTGGGCTGTGTAGACACCCGTCTGGCATCCCTTTTACCGTGTGTGCACCTCAGTGGTGTCTCTTGGGGGGCCAGTTCTCCCTGCTCCTGCTCTGTTCCTTGTCATTCCCTAGGACTGCTTCTTTCCTCCCCGAACAGGTTCCCGTGGCCAATGAGTCCCAGAGCGTGGTCCAGCAGCCCTTCCAGCAGCCAGTGCTGGTGCCAGCCAGCCAGTCTGTGCAGGGAGGGCTTCAGGCTGGAGGGGTGCCCATCTACTACAGCGTCATCCCAACTGCCCAGCAGAACGGCACTAGGTAAAGTGACTGTATCTGCCCTGCCCCGGGGAGAAAGGGATCTCGCTGCCCTGCTGAAAAGGTGTAACATCCCGCTCCTGGATCGTCCCTTGAGCTTTCCCAATCGTACAAGGGCCAACAAGGAAGCTGGGGGCGCTTTTCCCAAGGGCAGGGAGTGACAGGACAAGGGATAACGGGTTTAACTGGAAAGAGGTAGATGGAGATGGGACATTGGGAAGAAATTCTTCCCACAGAGGGTGGGAGCACTGGGACAGGTTCCCAGAGAAGGTGGGCACGCAGGCACACAGTTACACCCGCTCCATGTTCGGGCCGTTCAGAACCAGGTGCCCGGAATCTCTCTTCGAGGGGTGGTGGAACTGGATGGGTTTTAAGGTCCTGCCCACCTGCTATGATCCTAGCTCCCAAAGTCAATGCTTCCTGGGCACAGTTGTCCTGCAGCACGCGGTGCTCCGGTGCTTCTCCAGAGGCAGCTGTGTTTCCAGCCATCTCAAGTGCTGAGGGAGCTGCACAGATGGGCAGCTATTTCTTCCCATCCCCAGCCCCTCACCAGAGCGCTCTCTGCCCCACAGCCCTTCGGTGGGGTTCCTCCAGCCACCTGGCTCTGAGCAGTACCAGATGCCGCAGTCCCCGTCACCCTGCAGCCCACCACAGATGCAGCAGCAGTATTCAGGTAAGAGGGGCCACGCTGAGGGTGGGCACCCGTCCTGCATCCGTCTAGTCAGGTTTTGTAGCGGTGAACAGAGCTGTCCGTCCACAACCCAGCCTGTGCCATGGGTTTCCTTAGCCTTCCCATCCCACTTCCCACTGGGGATTGTCAGTACGTGGCCCAGAGACTTTGCTGCGGGCTGATGCTGGGGCCAGCCACTCCTCAGGGTGGCCAGGCCGGGGTGGGGGGAGCTGCTGTGGGCTGCGAACTCCCTCTGCTGGCAACACGGCTGAGTGTCACCAGAGCCACTCCTGGAAGCAGGGAGCACTGAGGATGAGGATTCCCGCATCCTCAACATCAGAAGGATATTGACCACTTGGATCGAGTCCAGAGGAGGCCACGAAGATGATCAGAGGGCTGGAGCACCTCTGCTATGATGAAAGGCTGCAAGAAGTGGGCTTGTTCAGCCTGGAGAAGAGGAGGCTCCGAGGAGACCTCATTGCAGCCTTCCAGTACCTGAAGGGGCTACAAGGGTGCTGGGAGAGGACTTTTTACAAGGGCCTGTAGTGATAGGACAAGGGGTAACGGGTACAAACTGAAAACAGGGAGGTTTAGATTAGATATCAGGAAGAAGTTCTTCCCAGAGAGGGTGGGAGCACTGGGACAGGTTGCCCAGAGAAGCTGTGGATGCCCCATCCCTGGAAGTGTCCAAGGCCAGGCTGGATGAGGCTTGGAGCAACCTGGTCTAGTGGAAGGTGTTCCTGCCCATGGCAGGGGAGGTTGAAAAGGGTGATCTTTAAGGATGATCAACCCAAACCATTCTATGATTCTATGATCTTGCCCCAGCTCCAAGGAAGTGGGGCCTGGTGGGTTGGTGCCAGAGCTGGAGCCAGAATACTCGAGCTCAGCTCTGTGATGAGATCCTTGGCCTGCGATGCTGGGGGTTACCCCAGCTGCCTTCAGCTTGTCCCCCCTGCATTTCCCCTGGATTAAAATTCATCACCCTCTGGTCTAAGCTGTGAGATCGGAGAGGGATCCTTTCTGGGTCTCGGCGAGGCCTTTTCTCATCCCCCCGGGGCAGGCAGGAGTGGCAGAGGGCAGAGCACGGGGCAGGGGGTGTTGGAGAGGCCAAGTGGCACAGACGGGCAGGCTGCCTCTTGTCCCGCAGCAAGCAGCAGTACGCAGAGCCTGGGCAATGCTGCTGTCGTCTCTCCCCAGGCGTGTCTCCGTCAGGCCCTGGCGTGGTTGTGATGCAGCTGAACGTTCCCAACGGCCCCCAGGCCCCCCCGAATCCCCCTGTAGTGCAGTGGAGCCACTGTAAGTACTACAGCCTGGACCAGCGGGGCCAGAAGCCAGGAGACCTGTACAACCCGGACACCAGTGCTCAGGTACGGAGAAGACTGGGAAGAAGGCAGCTCATCTTATGGGCCTAGCCCGCTGGGACAGATGAGCC